AAAACATTGAATTTTTAAAAAATTAATCATAATAAATGATTTATTAAGATATATGATACACAATAAGAATATTAAATGATATAACGATCAAAGCTGGATCTTTAATGCTTAAATAATTCAATATTATACTATATGTATATGTACATGCATATACCTTGGCTGTGTTCCAAAATTCACTGCCAACGTTGAAAATTTACAGTTTACAGTATACTATACATTTTCAGCACTGGCAGTGACTTTTGGAACATAATCCATTATTCAAACTGCGCTTAAAAATTAATTATATTATTATACATATATCTATTGATATTTTGCTACTGACAATTTTATTATTATACAATTTTATTATTATAATTATTGTCCTAAATTCGTTTTCCTTAATTAGTAAATAGCTAAACGTTTTTATTTTAAGCCATGTTAAATGTGTTCTCTTAGTGGAAGTTGCTCAAGATGGACACTGCAAATGTTGCATTGGTCTCTTCATACTGCGCTCGGTTATATCCTGATGTTGGCTGTTATGACATATAATGCATATATCACTATCGCCCTTGTAATCGGAGCGTGCATTGGATATGGCATATTTGGTCCTACACTTATACAATTAAACATGCAATATTTTCATCGTAAACAAGCAGTTGTGGAATGTGATAAGAATTGCGAAGGTAATGCAACTTCATGTTAACGTAAGGCTGTAAGAAAGTGATTATTTTACCTTATTTTTATAATCGCTCTTAGATATTGTCGCGAATCTACAGAGACGCGAATCTGCTGTCTCTATCATTGCAGAACAATTAGTTACAGAAGCAAATATCGAGATTCACTTACAGAGAGATGCGTGAGTGTTGACATCAAACAATGCAATAGTCTGATATTATCTAGAAAAGTCTAATATTATTTAGGATTGTTATTGTTGTCATATATTATATGTATACATAGCATATTTTTATACAGATATTTTATTACAAATCATAAAGTAAAAAATACACGATATGAATAAATTTAACATAATATTTATTTACAACTAAATTAATTGTTGTAGATTTCCTTGTTAGATTTCTATATACCAGATACAAAAACATGTTTTGTTATATAAATTATACACATGTATTACAGATATACAAATATATGTTATATTAGCCATTAACATTTTTTATAATTAAAAAATTAATATTTTCTTATAAAAAATGTTTTAAATGTACATAATTATGAAAATATGTGCTAATATAAAATATGAAAATAGCTACATTTATCAAAAATATATAACTGATATCTGACAATAATGATTCCTTTTTCATGTTATTTTAAAAAAATATTGTATAAATAATAAAAATCAACGATAATTTTAGTTCAAGATCTTAATTATCATTTTGTCAGTTATTTTGTTATAATATAAACATTTAAATGTGGAGATCTTCAAAGAATGGATTTATATTATCCATTGCATCACCAATAACATAATCCAAGACGTTGTCCGTATCTATGCCATGAAATAAAAGTCCGTAACATTGACTGTCGACGTTATTGAAGTGCTCATATCCATATATTTGTTCGTTGCATAGCCAGCAAAATAAAGATTGGCAATGTCTACACGTCATTTTATTGCAACCTTCGGTTTTGCTAATGAAAGAACGGCATTTCGGGCAACTTTTCGCATTATCCTAAACAAAGTTACGTGCACAATCATTAGGAATAATACTCTATTGTAGTCTTATTATATGTCTATTCTTTAATTTTTTATATAATTGAATCTTTTATACTTTGTTATACATACTTGTAGATATTCAGTCGTAAGATATTTTTCAATTAATTGCATTTGACGCTTGCCATATGTCTTCTCTAACATCTGTTTCTTCTTATTACTGCTATTTCTGTACTCATCAATGAGTTTTATAGTATCGGTCGATGTCATTTCACAGGGTGCTTGTCCATGGTACATCTATTTGAATAACAATTTATATATAGAATATGTCGATATGTAGCTTTAGTTTAAATCAATCGTTTAATACCAACTAGTAACTTTCTATTATCTCATCTAATTTCAGCATTTAAAAATAGTGTACTAAGATAATACAATATCAAGATAATTAATTAAATATACGTATCATATATATGTTTATTTTTACATGCATAGACAAAATTAAAATAATTTAATAGAATAGAAAGTTATTAGTTAGTATATTAAGTGCACGATGTAATAACAAGTCATAGACATCCGCTTAAATGTTGAGACATGTCTTACCTTACGGCAATAGATGCAAAAACAGAATTTGCAAATAGGACAGATCGGTGCGGTATCGTCCGGGTTTCTAATAACCGGATATTGACAAGAAATTTGTGGACAGTACACTACATCGTCCATGGTGTCTAACGTTACTCGTAACATGATTTCTTCGTATTGGAAAAACAAGTCCGGACAGAGAGTTTTAACGTTGTTATCGCTTATTTGCCGCTTGCAGTCTATCGTCGGACACAATATCTCATTAATATACTCGACAATCCTGATACGTACGTGCTTCTCCATGCAACTTTTGCAATAGACATGCCCACAGTTTTCTAATTCTATACAATTTAGTCCTGCACATTCCTCGAAGCATATGTAGCAAGTATAAAAGTTCTTGACGAATTGTGCTTTATGTTGCTTCTTGTCATAAGATATTAATAATCTTTTGATATCTAATAATAATGCACCATTCTGAGCCCTGGGATCGGATAACTGGATTAGGCGTAATGTGATATTATCTCGTGACGTGTGAATTAAATGTAAGAAGGAAATATCTAACGATTCTGATATATTTAGAAAACTGAAAAGATCGTTTTGTAGGAAATTTATCCACAGGAAGATGATCTCGTTGCCCTGGTTTTCTTCCCATATTTCATCTAATTTCTGACAAAGTAAAGATATTTCCCAAGGTGACAACCAAATAATGGAAAGGCAAAATTCTGGTGATGTTTTAGATGGATATGTGTTAGGGAGATAAATATACATTCTGATTGGCGGTAGATGTTCTACAGAGATACTATCGTTGAGAACCATATCAGAAGGACCACTACTAAATTTTATTTCTAGTTTTTTAAGAAATATTGGATGTATGGTGACTGAACATCTTGTACCCTCCTTGAGTTTCACATGGAAAAATTCTGTTTCGTCATAAATACTAGAAATTACAGCCACTTCATCCTCTTGTCGTTGAAGATCGATAGCACAAGACATCTTGATAAATGTCAGATTACTAAAATTCGAATTATTATTATAACTAATTATTATTAATAATGATTAATTTATTTTCAAAGAGCATTTATGTATACACAAAAAAATATAACAAACCTGTTAAAGACTGGTTATAGAAATTGTAGGTATATTTTGTTTCCACTACATCTACAATACAAAAAGACAGATGTAAAATAATGTGCCAAATATATCTATAAATACAAGCGTAAAATTTATAAATGAGAGAAATTAACTAACAGATTATATAATAAAAATTATGTTCTGATATAAAATATATGTATACATATATATACAATAAAAATATAAGAGCGAAAAATAGAACTGACGCTTTTTCTGAGAGTTTTGTCTCATTTTTTAGTATGTTGATGATGTGAAGGGACATATAATAAGACTGACAATTTCCTCTGAACTAACTGTCTTTGCGTTTATCATTTAACTTGATAATTATAATGAGAATACATTTGGACATCACAATTTCTTATGATTACATCACAAGACACGGCTATAATTCGTCGCACAATTCGATTTTTAAAATTCAGTTTTTAATTGTATGTATTTATCAATTTTTAATTGTATCGATTGTTATTGCGATATTGAGAAAAATTCGCAGAATTGAAACGTCTATTGTTACATTATATATACTAATTGAATAAATTTTTTATACGCGAACATTCAGTGTTCGGCTCTCATAAGCATTATAATTCTTTGATATACGTATATACATTTATAAATGACGTATCACTGATTTTGCGTAACAATAAAGGACTTTTGAAATTATTTCGAAATGACAATACTTAATATTAAAGTAAAACTATAATAATTTTTGGTGAAGCCCAAATGATAGAACGGCTATTTTACCGATAAAATGCAAAACA